CTCTTATATGAATTCCCTGTTGTTTGATTCATTAACAATTTGATCTCCAATAATACTGTGCTGCAGGTGAAGTACACATGGAGGGAATCCTACTGACTTTCAGCTGTTGGGTACAAAGGACATCAGAGTTTGCTAAAAAGGAGTTGTTAACCCTATGTAAGAACATGTTCCTTCATCAATCATGTTTAAATGTTTGAATTATAAAGCACACACTAAGGCTCTTCCCACAGGTTTCAGCCGCTGCCAGGGTCTGTGGATGTTTTTGGACAGGAGCTCTTTCACCAGAGTGCACATGCTGCTCCAGAGACTGAGAAACTTGCTCACCTTGGCCCAGTGGGCAAGAAAGCAGCTCAGTTCAGCCCACCTCTGGCATGGTATGCACTTATATATTATATTATTATTATATTATTATTATTATATATTTGTGACTGCATTTGTAGTCCTAACCCTCTGACATCTCTACTTGAATTTACTCGAATTTCTATGTTTTTATTTAGGTATGGGTGTCCCATGCGTGGTGTGCAGGGATACATTCGGCTCCTCAGACGTCAGACGTGGCTGCTGGAACCGAGAGCACAGGGCTCTAAAGCAGCACATCTGGCTGGGACGGCTGGTTCAGTGGTGGGGCATCATGGGGCTTCTGCCCAAGTACCCTGGTATAGATACAATCACACACATTACATTATATTCATAGGAGGAAGTGTTGCAACGCCTCTAAAGGTTTTTTCTGTTCCCCGCTGTTGCTGTCAGAGGCTCAGGAAGTGAAGCGTATCTCTCAGATGTGGAAGGAAATGGGTCACAGCCATCGGAAAGCTTGTCTTGAGACACCTGGGTAACTTGGATGATTCTACTTCATGGAACAATTCTGACCTATTGTACTTATTTTCTCCCTCTGAAGTTTCCCTTTTATTTCCTCTGCTTTTCTATTTTCTTACATTTGACTAGAAGAGAGGAGGGAGAAATAGCAAGAGTCAGGTCTTTGATTCAGGGGATGGTGACTGAGCTGGACAGACAACATGGGTGCATTTGGACTTCTGAAGACCGCATAGACCCATGCTATCCCCCTCCTAATCTGCAGGCCCTGCTGAAGCTTGTGCTGGTGCCTCGTATCGATAACATGTCTGTCCAAGCACTTGTATCCATCTAAATACATCAACAAAGCCCTCTGAAGGCTTATATGTGTATATAAATATAATTAATTTCATTGTTATGTAGTTCTTAACCTTTATGTATCACAGCTCATGTACTTTGTCCTGGATATGGCGAACTTTCTGCAGTGCAAGGACGACCTCCTTAAGTCTTTCTGCCATGCCTTCACTATTCCCTCCAACTTTTCCCAACAAATAAGAGCCTTCTGGATGATTGATCATGGACACACCAAGGTAAACAACCAAAAAGAAAAATGTATTTCATGATTCTGATTTAGATGAAGTCATTAAAATGAACATGTGCAAGATGACTGTGATGCGAGTGCGATTGAAGGGCCAGTTAACCATCCATTGATTACATTAGTGTCCTTGTTTCAGCAGCCATAATGGTCTGCAGGTGACACTAATGGGCCACTTGAGTAGCGCATATGATTGATGTAATAACGCTCCACTGTGCCACTCATTAGTGTAATTATAATATACCTCTCTTTTAGAAGAGGGGCTGCTTTCATGGATGACAAGACATGTTCCAGTTTCTTTCTTGATAACAACAAGTAGGAGATATGTAACTGACTACGCGTCAGTCAAAAAAACCTTTTAGGTTGCTTTATATCATGTTACATCTTACCCAGGCCTCCATGGAGCTATTACTGAGCCCCAGAGCTGCTCTTCCCTGGCTCTCCTGGCAGCATCG